CTGATTTCTGGATTCTGATTTCTGACTTCTGCCTGTCTGCTTTCTGCCTGTCTGACTTCTGCCTGTCTGATTTCTGGATTCTGATTTCTGACTTCTGCCTGTCTGCTTTCTGGATTCTAATGTCTGACTTCTGTCTGTCTGTTTCCTGCTTTCTGAATTATGACTTCTGTCTGTTTGTCTTCTGTCTGACTCCTGTCTTTGTCTTTTTTCTGACTTCTGTCTGTTTGTCTTCTATCTGACTCCTGTCTTTGTCTTCTTTCTCCTTTGTGTCTGTCTGCTGTCTGACTTCGCTTCCGCTGATTTCGGCCTGTCTGCTTTCCAGCTTTTGCAAACGGCACAATCTGAACGCGGCTGTCTTAGAATAGTCAGGCTCCAGCTCAGTACTCGGTGCGGCTGGCAGGTTACAAGAGAAGCCCGTAAATGCTCTGCGACCAGGTCTCACTGTTTAGGGCCATGCCAATAATCGGCCTGCGCAGAGCGCTGCGATGACGCTCCATCTCCACGTCGCCCGCGCTGCTGGGACATGCGGACTATATCCCCAAGATAAAACAGCACTGGGGCAAAAAACACGTGAGCCCGTCCTCGCCTGCAAAAACATCTCGGCGGCTGGGCTGGGCGTCCATGCCTGCTGCCTGCATGCGGCTCTGGCCCGGGCATCTCGCTGCGGGCGCCTGGCTGAGGGTGTGCAAAAAGCGGCCCATCGGGGCCGGCCCTGCATCGCTACGATTTCGCTGCGCCGCACTGGGCCGCTTTTCGCAGCTGGCGCCCTGATTCCCGATACTGCGGCGCCATCAGTCAATAAATGTTGCACACCTGGCGATCGCGCGCAGAGGATGGGGTGCCGGGGCGTGGGCTTGGATTTTTTGGATCTTGCCGTTGTTGGAGTTGCCGTTTTTGAGTTTGCCATTGAATTTGCCATTTTTGATTTTGCCATTTTTGATTTTGCCATTCAATTTGCCGTTTTTGAGTTTGCCATTCAATTTGCCATTAAATTTGCCATTGAATTTGCCATTTTTGATCTTGCCATTCAATTTGCCATTTTTGATTTTGCCATTCAATTTGCCGTTTTTGATTTTGCCATTCAATTTGCCATTTTTGATCTTGCCGTTCAATTTGCCATTTTTGATCTTGCCGTTTTTGGAGTTGCCGTTTGTGGAGTTGCCGCTTTTGAATTTGTTGTTGGAGTTGCCGATGGGATTTGCCGCTTTTGAATCTGTTGGGGGTGTAGTATCAAGCGACATAGAAAGAGCTAGAAGCCGAGCAAAGTTGCAGGGTGGGAGAAAAAATGTCTTCTTGCTCCTGGCGGCACCTTAGCTTCAGCGAACACCTGCGAAAAACACAAGCAGTGGCAAGCAGACAATATCGTGCTACGGCGCTTGGGCACCTAAACCAGCCACAGGCTGAAGGCTCTCTGGAGCTACGTGAGACAAGTGTTGTGTCGGCGTCAAAAGCTCGGATGCTACTTAATGAAACGAGGTGGATTGAGCATTATCTTCACGTCAAGCTCCATAGATTGGGCTTGTGGTTAGATTTGCTGGTTCTGAGGCCCTGGAGTATGAGGCCCTGGATTGAGGCCCTGGAATATGAGGCCCCGCCGCGCGGAAATACCCAGGGTCTGCTCGGTGCCCTCCAAAGTCCAGTCTGGGACAGAGAACCTCACCACAGGTCTGCAGCCACATGGCGGGGATTTGGCTGCAGCGGCTGTCCTCTTGGCTCCCCGTGAATATCCAGATTCAATTATTGGCGCCTTGTTGAACTCGCTATTTGACCACAAGTGATGGCTATATTATTAGGCGCTCCTACCTTGGAAAGCCGCGCCGGCCTTCATGTTGCGCCGCGCACCGTTTCTAGAAGTCCGCCTGGTTCACCCCAGCATTGTATATAGTGACACTAACTAGCCCACTGTAACACAGATGAACAATAACACAGATGTACAATAAAACAGACCCTTTCTTATAAGCAAAAAGCTATTGTTTTGAGCTGGACTGACGCGCTGGAAAATGGGTGTCTGGATGTATTTCCCCATATCACTTGGCAGCCTGTCCTAATAACTCTCCGCAGCTGGGACAGTGGCCGCGGATTTAGAATCCAGGCTGAGACCACGGCTTGGACTTTCGCCCCCACGTGACCGGGTCCTGCTCAAAACAATCACCATGTCTTGCTTTCCGACTACATCGGCTTGATGTCTCTGAATGGATCTCAGTGGCATTCGTAAACGGAGGCTCATTTATGGACTTACCTATATGTCCTAACGTTGAAACAAGATGATCTGGACCCTTCGCTGCGCAAGCGTGCTCAAGAATTGCTCCGGGTGCAGACAGTAGAATTTAGCTGCTATATGGCAACTTTTTGCTGTATCCGATACAAGACTATTATCTTTCTGGACATGACAGAAACCCCAGCATCCCAAACAATATGTATAGAAAAATCCTGATATGAATATCCCGTATTTTGTGTGTTCCTGTCTCATGTCCAGAATAGAATATGCGCACATTAAACCTGCGCTCTCGGAACTACATTATACTTCACATGTAGTCATAGTTGTTCTAATGTCGACAAAATAGCTGGGCATTATACACCCAGCTTGAATTAACCCAGCTGAGCAAGAAAGAAGATGCATTGTCTGATACTAAAACGCCTACTTTGGTATTGCCTTTTTTTTTACTTGATTCTTCTGATTAAAGCGGCAAAACAATATAAATAAAATACATAAAATACCTTTGAACAGCTCCCAGCTACGTACCAAGTATCTAATCTCTGCCCATCTCCTTCCGTTAGTCATGGCCTGGACAGTCCTCATGGCCCGTATCTGTTTACATATGGGATATTATGTCATCGACCCCTAGGACACGTCTCCTGTAGTAGTCGTTTCAATTCCGATGGTTGTAGCGGACTTAAGGGTTTGGTTCTTTTTTTTGGTAGATTCATCTGATTAAAGGGGCAAAACTATATAGCAAATATATATAAAAAACCTTTAATCAGCTCCCAGCTACGTACCAAGTGTCTTAGCTCTTTTTTCTTTTTTTAGTAGATTCATCTGATTAAAGGGGCGGGTTACATTTTTAGTAGACTCATCTGGGTAAGAAAACAGACGTCGGAAGCATGATTTTCATCAGCTCCCCAATACATGAAAAATAAGTGAATAATTCTTTTCCTCTCTGTTTTTGGCTTCTTGTCTATTACAGCATCTGAAGATTCCATAAATGGTTGTATAGTGTAGTGGTTATCACTTTCGGTTTTGATCCGAACAACCCCGGTTCGAATCCGGGTACGACCTATTTTTTTCACGCGCCAACGGGCACCATAGTGCAGTCGCTGCACTTTTTTTTACCTGGCAAAAGTGCGATGAGCATCGAGCACTGTCTTGAGAACCCCATATTCTTCTCCAAAAATGATCAGAACAGTGTATGTATATCGCAATTAATTATCGTGGATCCAAGTCCCGGCAATATTCTGTATGCCCTTTGCAAACTAACAATCAAGGAAACCAAAGAACGCTCGTTCCAAGAGAGCATTGGCCAAGAAAGAGGCTAAATTGGTGGAGAACACCAAGCAGGCATTGTTTGTGCCTGGAGGTTCAGGCAACAAATTCTTGCACGATGTCATGGTGGACTTAATGGCGTTGAAGAAACCCGAGGCCAAGAAATTCTCCAAAAAAAACGACATCAGACCGTTTGAAGACGCCTCTGGGTTGGAGTTCTTTGCTGAGAAGAACGACTGCTCCCTCATGGTGTTGTCCACACACAACAAAAAAAGACCCAACACGTTGATTTTCTCGCGGTTCTTCAATCATAAGGTCTACGACATGATAGAGTTGTCGATCCAGAGTGACCCCAAGCTTTTTAGCGATTTCAGGAAAGTCACGTTCCCCGTGGGCTTGAAGCCCATGTTCACTTTCAACGGCCCGGCCTTCGACAGCCATCCTGTGTACCAGCAAATAAAGTCGTACTTTTTGGACTTCTACCGTGGTGACGAAACCGACTTGCAGGACGTGGCTGGATTGCAGTACATCATAGCATTGTCCGTTGGTGAGATCGAGGACCCCAACTCGCTGACTCTTCCTCTATTGCATTTCAGAGTGTACAAGTTGAAGACTTACAAAAGTGGACAGAAGATTCCCCGTGTGGAGGTTGATGAGATTGGCCCCAGATTCGACTTCAAGATTGGCAGAAGAACGACGCCTGCTCCAGATGTCGAGAAGAGCGCGCTTTCAAGGCCTAAGCAATTACAGGCCAAGGTCAAGAAGAACGTGACTACAGACTTCATGGGAGACAAGGTTGCCAAGATCCATGTGGGTGACCAGGACTTGAGCAAGATGCAAACAAGAAAGATGAAGGGATTGAAGGCCAAGTATGACCAGGTCGACGAGGCCGAGTTTGACGAGGAGGATTACGGAGTAGAGGAGTCTGAGAACAAGAGACAGAAGGTCTGAGTGCGAAGCCGTGCTTCCGTGCTGAGGTATTCAGAAACAGAATAAAGGATAACAACAAGTCAAAGAGCTTCTGCGACGCCGTTTCAGTTTGTTGTCTTCGAGGAAAGAGGATGCTAAAATGAATGTTTTCCATGGCAGTGAGTATTTCGAAAGATAATATCCATCGCGCTCCATTAAACCTTAAACATGGCAATATTTTGCCGTAATTAGATGTTAAGTTGATCTTTATTCTGTATGTCTGCCAGATACCAAACAGATACATGTCTCATCATTGTATGGACATCTCAAAAGAACATTTTATTTGGAGCCCAATTTAGTTGTACGAGTCATTATTTTCCAAACAGTGCGAGCTAAACCCGGGAGTCTAGTAATAGCTGAATAAAGGCTGGAGTTTCTATGTTGGAAAACACACACTTGACTTCAAATTCAATAACCTTTCTCAGAGGGCTCCCTGGATATAAGCAAACACCCCTGTAATTCAAACATCTCCTGTGGATGGGTGCAAACACACCCGAGCTTGACTAAGATAAAAAGAAAAGAATTACTTATTGTGCTACATACATTTGATATGAAGCTTGTTGCTACCTTGAATTGTGTAGCTACCAGCAAGAAGCAGACAAGTGGAATTGGGTGTTTGAGAGTATCCGCCACGAATATGAAACGTATAGTGTAGCTTGGCTTAGACTTTTAATGATTCAAATCCATAAAGTGGGCCAATATCACCCATCTAGGCTTAGTGTTTACTGCACATTTTGTCTTCATTCATCTATTACTATGTTCACACGGCTACATAAAGAAATAAGTCAGGAACAATACAGCCAAGAGCTCTGGCACACCCATGTTGAGACTCTCGGATGGCATGTGCCGAGCTGCTAATAGTTATAAGGGAGCAGACATTGAGCTTTATTAGGTCATGCGGTGTTGGAAAAATGACGATTTCGATTGATAAGGCCTCGAGCTTCAATGACGGAAAGGCAGGAGTGACTGGCTCTGAAGCTTAAGAAATAGCATTCAAGTTAGAAGATATCAATGCATATAATTTAAGAAGTTATTCACCGTGCTACTAGCCCCCACGGAAGGATCCCAACAGATAGACATTTGTCATATGCTCTGTGACAGAAAATCAAACTCACTGAGCAAGTGTTCGAAGCCAAATAAAGTGTGTAGTTCTTGGTAATTCTGCTCCTCCCGGCAGATGCACCAAAAGACATCTGTCCGAGATCAGAAGCGTGGTGCGAAGATGGCTACGTCCTAGGTCAGAAAAATATGTTCCACCATGCCACTCCAAAAATATGTAATTTGCATTATTTCGGTCGGGTTTGTGTCGATAAAAAGCTAGAATTTGTTTCAACGGACAATCAGATTTCAAAAAAAAGAAAACATTTGAACCCTGTTGTAAATTGCTGCAAAAGTTAGCTCCTCCTCAGGTTGCAGCGAGTACTCAAGCACCTTCCCAGACTTCATATCAATACGCCAACATAAATTAGCCGGACAAAAATTAATTCTCGGTCCGTCTACAAGGAGATGACCTAATAAATATGGTCTTTCTTTTTTTGTTCGAGTCTTTAAATTTCTCATTCGATATTTTTCAGCAATATTTCACATCCCCACTCCCTTGATCGCCCCCTCTGTTCGTAAGTGGTCTAGAGTGACCATGACATTGTGCGCTCAACTCAATCCGCTTATAACAATGAGTGATGTGCACCAAGTTCATGATCATGACTACCGTAGTTTTTGTATCCAATAGTTCATCATGAAAAATATGTGAATCCTCAAGTATAGTGTTTATGCTCTCATCATGAATTATCCTTGATGTGATATGTATAGTGTTTATGCTTCTATTGGGCAATTTCAATTCACAACTCAGGGACGGTCTGGTAAATGCGGTCTACATATGTTTCTGCAAGCTCTAATGCACTTCCATATGTGAGAAATCTTATTAAGGGTGGCAATTATCTCACATTCTTAGGACATTGTATGCAAAAGAAACTTTTCTAGAAGAACCGGTTTGTTAATAGACTTTGGTATTGATGTGCAGTCCTTGAGTGAGTATCTGAGGCTGCAACTCGGAGAAGGGCGGGAGAAGCCTTCTGTATTCTAACAGGATATGCATCATCGTCGGCTTTAAGGAAAAAATATTGAAGCTGATAAATTTCTACACTGGTGAGACCAACCTGCCATTGCTAGGTTGGGATCTTTAATCTGATGGGATCTTTCATTGATCGGATCAGCAGTTTTCTATTCTCTGGTCGGCCTCTCGCATTGATGGGTCACCATGATTACATTGTTTGCACTCTGGGTGTGACAGATTGGCATAAATTGACAGTCTTGAGCTTTTGGAAATATTTTCGATACATCGACAGAGTGACGTTCTGGTACATATAATCCGACGTTTTGCACTTCTAGGTTGACGTTCTGGCACTTACAAATTGACGTTCTGACACTTACAAATCGGTGTTCTGGCACTTACAAATCGGTGTTTTGGCACTTATAAACTGACTTTTTGGCACGTTTAAATCGAAGCTCTGGCATCCAAAATTTGACGCTCTGGCACTCTAGATCGGTGTTCTGATCCTCACAGATTCGCGTTCCGGTCCTCACAGATTCGCATTCAGTGTACATACCTTTATACTGTGGATCTGACTTTTCCGTTTGAGAGGACAGGAATATCCCGCTGGCTCACCGGCAGCTTCTTGCCGCTGAAGGCATCCTGCCGCTGACTGCTCCCCATAAAACTGGCTTTGCTGTTTCGATAGTCTCGCCATCTTCATATCTTCCCCCAGGGCCTGTGCTCGCACCCCGCCCTCGCGCCAGGCCCTGGGCGCTGGCCCTGTCTACAGCAGGCCCGCGCAGAGCCATGTTTTTTTAAACCCCACCACGGTCTCTTTCGCAGCTGGACCTCTCAAACCCCCCAAACACCCCCACCGCCCATCACCCCGCCATGCCTGCCACATCCGCCGGGCTCTTCCGGCCCCGGAAGTTTGCCGCGCCCGCCTCGCCCGCGGCGCCCGCAAAACTCAGCTTTCTAGCGGACCTGACCACGGACCTCGCCGCGCCGCCAGGCGTCCCCTCCGCGCCCTCTTCCGGCGCCACAGAACTCACCAAAAATGACAAGTACAGCGTGGCGCGGCTCCCCGCCGTGCCGCCCGTGCTCGGGGGCCACTCGCTGCCCAGCGCCGCCGCCGCCGCTGCGCTCAACGCGTACACAGACAACGCCACGCGGTGTGCCTTGGCCGTGGGAGAAAACACCATCAATGTGTGGCCCTACTCGTCCACGGACGACACACCACTCACGTTCGAATTCCCTCTTGGCACGCCGGCGCCGTCCGCCGGGCCGTTGGCCATCCTCACGCGCCCGGCGCCGGGCACCACGCTCGACCCGGGGCTCGCCGTCATCGACTCGTGCTCCGGCCACGTGTGCTTCTACGAAAGCGTCCAGTACGCGCCAGCGCTTGGCATGATCCGCAGTGCACGCAGCGAGACCACAGTGGCGCTCCTGGCCGCGCAGGGTGAGTACATCACGCTCGCGGAGAACGTGGAGCCCGCGGGCATTGCCGTGGCCACGTCGTGGCAGCGCGTGGTGCTCGTGGTGTTGCGTGACCACTCCGGCGCGCCGCACTTGTCCTCGGTGGAGCTTACCCGGCCGCCAGCGTCGCGCCGCTTTGCCGGCTGGCTCCGTGGCGCGGCACCCGGCGAGCTCGGCGACGAGATCGTGGCCATCAGGGCCGGGCCACCGGGCTTGCACGGCCATGGCCAGCAGATCGTGGTGCTCGACGCGGCAGGCTCGTTCCGCAGCTTTGTCTTCCTGGTATCCGCCGCTGGCATGCCGTTCGTCGACCACCGCAGCACCGTGCTGTACGCGCTCGCGTCGCACTTGGAGCGGAACGTTGACGGCTTGATCCCCGGTGCCGTGCTCGCGTCACGCTTCCTCGACCTCCAGCCGCTGGTCCAGGACAACGCGGCGCCCCACGACGTATATGTGTGCTTGGTGGCCGTGCGCAGCTCCACGCACGGCCTGGACGCCGAGCAGCTCCTCCTCCTCAAGCTCCAGATCAATGCCAGCGGCGTGTTGGTGCTCGGCTCGCACCAACTCCCCGGCGTGCTGCCGCTGCTGGCTGCGCTGCCGGCCCCTAGCCCGCGTCTCTACATCCCGCGGCCCGGCAGGACTGCCTTCGTGTACGTGGGCAACTCGGTCATCATGAGCGACTTATCCCCGGCCACGTCCGCAACCGCTTCTCAGGACTTCTCTTACTACGAGCCCCAGTGGGAGGACGTTGTCAACTTCAAGACCGCGGTGCAAATCATCGGCTGCGGCTACGAAGACAGGCGTGCCGCCCCCGAAAACCCGGCGTTGGTGTTGGTCACAGCCGGCCACGGCGTGGTGCGCATAGAGAGGTTTCTCGAGGACCCCACAGGCAGCACTGCCATGGATACCGACCCCTCTGATCCCGTCGCTCTCCTCAAGTCCCACATCAACCAGGCCATCTTCTACGGCGACTCCTCGCTTGTTAACTTCGACGTCGACGCCTCGTTCCTGCTAGACACAATCGATCCCGCCGTACGCTCCGTGGTCTCCAGCATTTTGGATTCCTCCTCGCCTTATCTCCCCGGTAACTTCTCGAGCACAAGAGACTCGTTTAGCCTCAGGCTCGAGTTGTTACGGCGGCTCATCGAATATACGCGCTCCAACTTTTCGGACTCTCTTTATGCTGTTTTGCCCGTTATGGTTGAGGCTTTGGAGAAATTGGAAGTCGCTTCCAACTTGTGGAACATTATTGACTCCCACTCTGCTGAAGTGGTGGACTTGAAGTCAATTCTCAAGCGCATCATTACACACAACGACTTGGTGCAAAAAGCCCTGTCTCAGGACACCATCCGCTTGTTCTTTGCCAATAACGTGGACGAGATTCTACCAGTCCTCACCGAGCTCGTGGCCGAGATCTCCGCCTCGAACGTGTCCTTGAAACTCTTGGTCATGATCTTGGTCAGTACTTTACACGACGCAGTGCACAAGAACGAGGTCGCGTATATCTTTGGGAACAGTGAAATACCACCGTTCAAATTATGGCTTTTTGACTCAAGCTTGTTGGTGGAGGCGGAGCAGATCTACACCAAGGCTTTTTGCTCAAAGAATGAGGCATTTCAATTTTTGGACTCTTCCTCCAGTCGAAATGAGTTGATACAGTTCACTGAAACGTTGTATTTTCTTATGACCAGCGCAATTCAATTCATGCAGCAAACAAACGATGACCAGCTTCATGAATACTTAAAGTGGTACAACAGGAGAAAAGGGGCGTGGGTCGACGCCTTGATTTCGCGTGGCTTAATAAGAGAAGCATTGGCTATTTCTCAGAAATACCATGACTTCTACTCTGTTGCGCATATTCTTGAGAAAGAAAGGGACCAAATGTCTCCAGAGTATGTCTTCGACAAAATCGACTTTTTCATGAATCAGTATGGTTACAGCTTCGCGTCAAAACTTTTTGATTTTTACATTCTGAAAAAGCAGTTCCAGCGGATTCTTGTGGACTGCAAACCTTATGAGACTTTTCTTGAGCAGTATTTCCAAGAGAACCCCAAAAATTCTGATGAGGTTTCATGGATTTATTATTTGCAAGTAAGGAACTTCAAAGAAGCATCTAACGTTTTGATGTCCTTGTCCATTGATGAAACGACTGAAAATCAAGGAGTTCGAGAGTTCAATTTTTCCATGGCTAAGCTATGTGCTATTGTCGCCAAGTCCGAAGGTACAATTGTTGAAGATGGGACAGGACTAGACGAATTAGCTGTCGATGCGGAAAACAATCTTGTGGCGATCAGAATTCAGAACCAACTTCATCAAAAAATATCCTCCTTTGTGGACAACAAAAGGGAATTAATAACTTTGGAATACTTCGTTGCGAACTTCTTGAATCCAAAGTTGAGCAGAAATGAAGTAGAGACCAAAATTAGTCCGTTTTTCCAGAGGTTTGTTGACGAAAAGACACTTTCGAAGGAAGAGTTGATATCCCTTTTGACTTCCATTAATCCGACAACACACGGATTTAATCAAGTTTTTTCAGATTCATTAAAGATTGCTGCCCTCATAAGCAACGATTCGATCTTCCATAAACAAGCCTGCGATATTTGGAAAAGGTTGATCTGCTCTACTGACGACTGGGGATTGATATCTGCCACTGAAGGAAACAGCGATGAGGTAAACAAGTCAAGGGTGAAAGGCACAGTGTTATTCAATACGTTGAAAGTGGTGCAGGAGCACAAGGAAATCATGAGTGTATTGGATGATGTGTTGAAAAAAACGCATGAGGACTTCATCATCGAGGAGGGTTCTTGGGATGAGAAACTCCAGCAGCTCGTGGTGGAGTGTAACATTGAAATGTGGATAAGTACAGTGCGCAATGAGGCGAAGTAATTTATTCTGGTGCTCTTAATAAAGCCTCAAGTTGCATATGATTATATGAGCGATGTCGAATCCAGCATTGAATTTACTACGGCTAAAGAATCGATGTGGAGTCGAGACGCGTCTCGAAATTTTCGTATGGTCATGTTGCGTCTGGCCCGCCAGATCAATGCAAACGGCTTTCAGGTGTCTATGTCATCTGAATCTTCACTCCAGTTCAAACGAACCAATAATTCAGGCATAGGTTCATTGTTGTCGTTGACTCGGCTAGCGTGGTTTGCTATGCCTAAAGATGCTAGAGATATGGCACTTGCAACATTTTTCCAATTTGAGAGGATATATGCAACGCTCTCTGAGCCGTCAGTCATGACCTCGAGCTTTTTCTCAATCTCATCCAATTGTTGTGCTAGAATATTCGTGAATCTGTTTATCTCTTTTAGTTCCTGGAGCTGTCTGGCCTTTTCGTCGATTTTTTGTTGGAGCGTATTCTTCATGGCGATTGCGACTTATACTTCGGTGTGTATGACTCCAACAACTCGATCACAGATTACAACCGGCTGGTCAGATTCACGATAACGAGTCCCAAATAGCGGCAACAGCAAAGCCGATCTCCAGAATCACCCGTTTGTTGGGGTTCTTCATTAACGCAGGCTTCCCCTCGCAGAAATCAAAGCAAGTACATGCACTCCCAATGTTAGTGTGAGCATCCAGGACAAACCGAGCTATAAGTCATTAGATTTAGAAACAAGTACAGCAAACACTCTCAAAAGTAGCGCGGTCCTTTACATATAGCTAGATCAGAAATGGTCAAACTTTCCACAGCCCCTCTTGATTTTGGGGTGCCGTCTAGGCGACCAGCTCAACAAGTAGAATCCCCAAAATTGGACGTTACAGAGACCCTCCAAACATCACACGATCTAAGCTCGAAAATCCCTCTCTTGGAACTAAAGGACATGCATGATTCTTTAAGGAGACCAGTATGTCCTTTCCTTCCCATGGGGGATTGTGAAGGCGAAATCAGGCAACTTCAGGACGAGAATCTTCACTTGTCTACAACGGTATGCCAGCTCAAGAAAACCATCAGTGAATATGAGGCTCAGGTTCAGAGTCTTCTTGGTGAGAACAAAAGGCTCCAAGAATCGTTGGTATCAAGTCGGCATTCACCACCAAATAAATTCGACAAGCGCCTTGGGGAAATCGAGCAGGTTTTGGCTCATGGGCTCACACATACTCTAAATGCTCTCCAAAGTATACGTGATGGCAAGCAACAACATACTCAAATTTTGGAAAATACTGCTGGGTCGAAAAATCACGTGTGTCATACAGAGGAGGAGTCTTTGTCTGTTAATCTTGGACACGGTCCGCTTATCGCTGCTTCCCAAGAAAGTTCACTGCAGGTTCCAAATGAGGGGGTCAGTAATTCCTTGGAAATACTCACAAATTCAGAGCATGCAGAGACCAGGATGGAAAAACCACACAACCCTTTGAAGGTACCGAAAGCTAATCGGAGAAACATCGAGGTGAAGAGAGAGAATTCTGATGAGAGCGCTTCTCGTAGAACGGGCCCTGGTGTTTTTGATAGTTCCAAGAGCAAAGCACGAAGCACGGAGGAAAACTTTGATGACATCACGTTTTTCATGAAACCCTCTGCTTCTAGAACGAGGCATGCTTTAAGACTAAACGATAGACTGAGCAAGACAAGGAAAGCAGAACAACCGTCAAACCTGGCTTCCAACAACCCAATTCATGGAAATTCTAGTACTCAGCCCCATGGAGTGAAAGTAGAGCAGGAGCATCAGGATGAAAATGCACATGTTTTGATCAAGCAAGAATCTTCAAAGAAAAGAAAGGCACTTGAGCCCCTCGCCACAAGCTCCAATCGAAGACCATCAATTGCAGCTCGCATGAAAAACAAAGTCCAGCACGACGCGTTCGAATTTGTGGACAAATCTACTCTTCTTGAGCAGAGCCGCAAATCCTTGAAAAAATCCCTGGGCTGATCACATTACACTATGTTTCTTCTTCGTATGTGGTATACACAGGCCGCTCCAACTAGACACTCATTTTCATCTTGATTGGACCGTGGCATTGGTAGTCCACGATCTCGAAGTCTTCGAACTTGAAGTCGTCGATGTTCTTTATCTCCGACTTCCTCTCTTCTTTGATCTTCAACTTGGGAAAAGCCATGGGTTCTCTCTGGACCTGCGTCTCTAGAGCATCTACATGATCCAAGTACACGTGCGCATCGCCCAAAGTATGCACGAATTCTCCACAGTCCATATCGACCACATGGGCAATCATACGTGTCAAGAGGGCGTATGAGGCAATGTTAAACGGTACGCCCAAGCCCATGTCACATGACCTCTGGTATAAGAGACACGACAATTTAGGTTTCTGGGCCGGCTTCGCCAGCTTTTCGGTGTTTGCAGTTGGGCCGGCACTGCCGAAGCTCACATAGAACTGACAGAAAACGTGACATGGGGGCAAAGCCATTTTCGCAAAATCTGGCGGATTCCATGCGCTCATGATGATCCTTCTGTCGTAGGGGTTCGTTTTCAACTTGTGAATGACGTCTTGCAACTGGTCGAATCCTTGGCCCGTGTAGTCATCGTCGCATGATTTATATTCAGCCCCAAAATGACGCCACTGAAATCCATATACGGGTCCCAAATCGCCGACACGACGATCTGTTAGTCCCAACTTGTCCAAATATTCCCTCAGGCCGTTGCCCTCCCAGATTTTCACACCTTTCTCCGACAACACATTGGCATCAGTATTGCCTTCGACAAACCAAAGGAGCTCGTGGATAATGGCTTTGGAAAATACTTTTTTAGTTGTGAGTAATGGGAATGTGTCGTTGGAAAGATCGAACCTTAACTGTGGAGGAGCAAAAAGTGACCGTGTGCCTGTGCCGGTTCTGTCGGGCCGAAATTCTCCCTCGTCGATGATGCGTTTGCACAAATCAAGGTACGCTTGCTCTGCAGTATTAACTTTAGACATTTATAATGCTTCTGGTATTGTATGGAGTGGTGATATGTTGAGCCTACTGTAAGGACTTTGGAATTCGCACCGGCTGACGCGACGCGTACCGCGAGATGGCAATAAATTTGGGATATACATACAGGTCAGGTGGCCATTAACATTTTGCAACTGAGGCTAGAAATTCTTAAGGGTGGCATACATATTATCACCGCCTGTGCATTCGTGAACTTTTCTCTTCCACATTGTATTGATGAAAATGTGGCATCACGTGACCTATGGGACTGGATGTTGAGCTAGCCTCGGGTGGAAAATGTTACTTCAATTTAGTGATCCGCCAGATGTAAGAGCCGTAGAGTACAGCCAATTTGGAATAAGCTTCCAATTGCTTTGAAAAGGTTCTGCGAGAAATCGCAACTACAGAGTTCTGATCACTTATTTTTCTTTATTTGACTGTGCTATGTAGTTAAGAGCTGGGCTGGACTGCTCGGCAGTTCCCAGTAAAGAAGATCACGTCAAGCGAATTACTTCTTCTCACCGAAAACGGCGTCAGATGCCTGTTGCAAGAAAGACTTGTCGCCAGATCTCGTGTTGTCACCAACGGTGTTGTCAACCTTGTCGGTGACGTTGTCCTTAAGCAACTCACCAGTACCCTTTTGGCTGTCTGGCTTAACAGCAGATGAGATCTTGTCGCCTACTGATTTTCTTCCGGTGTCTGACATAATTATTGTTTGTTGTTTGTTTTATTGATGATAATACAAAATGATCCGTTGAGGCCAGATACCTGCTCCTTATATATCTTTTTTTCTCGACGCTGATTGCTCTTCTCCCATAGCCAGGCTTGCTGTTACGAGCCAAACGCCCACCCCAAACTGTTACATAGCTTATTAGTGGATTGCTTGCAACCATTGTGCAGGACCAGTCATTCTGCGCCTGGCCTGTCCGCCATACTACCTGTGTTTATTGCTGTAGCAGCAATTCTCAACAGACCGCGGAAGTCCGCCGTGAGCTTCCTCCAATTGCCATTATTATGCAAGACCAACGATTTGGGCCGACACCACAATTCACGGTGTCCCCAGCATAATGACACTTCTGCTCTTGAAATATTTAGGCTTCAGCAGGGTGTAAATCCCGAGGGTTGTGAATCTTCCAAAGCCTCAAATAAAGTTCTGCGTAGCTCCGCAATTGGATATGGGCTAAAAATGGAACTCCATACTTGGCGAGCTTTGCGCAGTAGCAACCATGCGAATATCCATTGAAACGCCCGAGTTCAAGTCAGCATATGACCATGTTTCACTTTTCTCCGCCACGTGTATCTCGGACCATACAATTCGTACAAAATGCTCAATGATGTAATCGAGACGAAGTGGAAAAAGATGGATTGCTTGTCGGGAACAACGCGGTATGCAGGTCACTACTTCTTCCATAACGAATTCTAAAAATGTCAAGTGTATTAGTCCCAGGTCATAATGGAACGAGACTCGCGCATTCTGTAGCTTCGAAACACCACAGAAAGGTGACCTCTGCTGTTTTCACTTCTTTTCGTTCATACATTTGCAATATCCTCTAATCATAATGGCACCCACAATCATACTGGCACCCACCAAAAATACTTCAACCATTTGGGCTCCACCAATACGCACTTCGCACTGGCAATGTCCACATTGGGACCTGCCCCAGAATTCATGGTGAATAGCGTACCGTGGATCACCACTTTTCTACCCTTCGCCTCCACCACTTTGGCACGCACTACCACAGTGCTTTCGGGAGGAGCCTGGTTGTGGAAGTCAATTGTTAAATTAGCCGTAACACCTCTTTTAGACGGCAACTGCGAGAACCCACATAAACAGAGTGCCTCATCAAGAATTGTAGCCGTAACGCCGTTGTGGATTTGGCCGTCTGCACTGATCAAGTTTTTACCCAAGTGGTAAAACGCTGTCAACTCGCCAGCTGTGCTATTAGTAAAAATGATCGGGTCGACTTCCATAAGCCCCAGCCCTGCCATAAGCCCCAGGCCAACGTGGTTTTTTCTATGCTGCGCCGGGAACGCGTCGCTCGACCGACTCATGACAGTATCCTTGTCAGCTTCTAGTGCCTTGAACATCTCACTATTTTCGATTCTTTGGACGGCTTCCTTGTTCATATACGATAGATGACGATGCTCCCAGCGGCCTCTCTGCCACTCCTGGGGGAAAACCAAGAACCCAGCTGCAAAAGCTGCAAGTGGGGAGGTGACTCTCGTAAAGGTTCTCAATCTGCTCATGCTTTTGTTGGTCTACTTCAGCTGGTTCTCAATTGTCTTCTGAGAACACGCGGTAACCAGATGTGGAGTTCCATGGAGCAGCGGCTTGGTCACGTGCGTGCCATGCTGTGGCCGGATGCAAAAAGTCAGAGTCCGATGCATTTGGCCAGTTCCACCACAAACGACGTATGAGTAGCAGGCCTTTGTTCAAAAGTTTTCTGATTTCAAAGAAGGGGCCATTTCTGTTGCGAAGGACGATAAATGTAATTTTGACCTGGAAAATACTCGGATGGCTCAGTGCTGATCGTTAGTAATATTTTAAAAAAACGGAAACTTAAGCGCGCTCTTGTTGTCCTTCAAGAATCCGGAACCTGAAATCAAATGCCCAACTGCTTGATCATCAATCAAAATGGGCTTTCAGCATTAAGTATTAAGCGATATTCTAGATGAGCCCCGAGGTCCTCAAAACCATCCCAATGTAAGTTTGTATCGCTATACTAAAAACGGGCCCAGCACTCAATATCGACCTCTGGGACCACGAGACAACAGGCCATCTGCAGGTCCGTCCCTCTTGCAGATCGTACCAAAGAACTGTCTTTTAGAAAACACGAAAATACCACCACCGAGTTGCAGTTGCACATCCCTTGATTTGTCTCAGCGCTTCTTCGAATGTCCCTGCGAAAAACCTACTCATCTCTAAGGAAACTGAGGTTTGGGGGTGTCATGCCGCAGAATCGACTAGGGTACCCCGTGCACAAAATTCCTATCCCCACAGAGCACACAGTGAACCAAGGAAAGCTCTTTGTAGTCAAGCCTCAGAACCTCAAAGAGAAAGAGCGGAAAGAGGACATAAAGTCATGCTTCTTCCTTGCCACGAATATTCGCGAAAGCGGCCTAGAAGATACTCCATCGTTGGCCATGGATGTGGAAAGGGCCGACTATAACGGCACACTGTTATTCCTGCCCGACGATGGCACTTTGCAGGTCTGCGTCTCAAGCGACGAGAAACTTGTTTTTTTCAAGATAGGCAATGCATTGATTGACAAAATGGTGCTACCGGAAAACAGTCTCAAGGCCGCTTACTTTGCCGATGACTACGCCAGCGCAGTTTTCGAATTCCTGAAGAATTTCGGATATATCTACGTGTCATTCGTACAGACAGGAAGAGCCCTATATAGATTCTTAAGAGATCGTCGGGGCGCAAGTGTAACCAAAGTGTCCGCACAAGAGATGGAAGAAAAACATCACCATGAGCTACGAAAGTACGAAAACTTCCAGAGAGACCCAATTGCAGTGGTACGGCCTGATGATCTGTCTGACGAGGCAGAGAATCTGCTCATAGATTCCGCTTTTGTTTCGGACGACATTCTCAGAAACGGCCTACCGTCTATACCACAAACCACGAGGCGAAAACCACTTGTTCGTCAGACCCGCTCCATATCAAAGCAAGCCGATGATGCAAACTTAATCACTCCTCTACATATTGACTCGGGCGTGCTGACAGATCGCTCAACACGTTCTGGAGAAGATGAAACAAGCATAGACGGGGAACCCATGCAAATGATCCGAGAAACCCCTGCCCTGTTTGACCCTCCATTGTACTACTCTGTGGATTCCGAAAAAAAATTCGTCATCTCATACAATGATTTCAAGACATTGTATAACAATGACTGGATCAACGACACACTCATCGACTTTTTTATTGCATACGAAATGCACAGGGCCGTACATGAGCTACGGCTGGTGCAAAAAAACGATATCTTTGCATTCAATTCATTTTTTTTCACAAAGCTTCTAACGAACTCAAACTCCTTGGAAGTCCCTCCTTATTACGAAAACATCCGCCGGTGGTTGGCGAAGGTCGACCTCATGAGCTACAATTCTGTCATAATTCCTGTGAACGAGCATCTACATTGGTTCTTCATAATTATAAAAAACTTGCCCAAGTTGCTTGAGCACGCAAAGACCAAGCAGAATCACGAAATTCATGCAGGGGACGAAAAGTACCAGAGCACGAAAACCATAGTTGAGATTTTCGTGATTGACTCCTTGAGGCAGAGTCACGCAAATCTAGGGCCTCCATTAAAGGATGTGATCAAGCAATACTGCAAAGAAAAGCACAATGTTGACATATCAACGGACTCAATTAGGTTTAAGAATGCGCGAGTATCTAAACAGCGAAATTTCAATGACTGTGGAATTCATGTAATCTACAACATTCGGAAATGGTTAGGAAGTCCTACAACTTGCGAGCTTATATGGAAAACACATGGGAAGCCCAAGTCTCAAATTTTCAAGACTTCCGAGAGGGATGCCATGCGTCGCGTATGCATCGATCTTCTTTTGGACTTACATTCTAAACAGCCACATAGCGACCTTCTGAGGCAGAATGAAAAAGCGGATGACGCTCAATCAGATGATGAGGTCGAACTCATATCCTGTCTGTCTTCCTATGCCAACAATCCAGAAGAAAGAATGGAGACAGAAGTCTCTCAAAGCAAGGATATATCGGGCACCTCAATTGGTATTCCGCCGGAGTCACAAAAAGAAGCGACTGTTCCGGATGAGATAAAAGTCCTTGTTTCGAGGAAAGAAAATATCGCTCAAGCTGAAACACGCCAAGCCCTGATAGAAGAAGAGGAAAAACCTAACCATACATCCATACGCAGATTGCATGACTTCACTGATAATTCCGAAAAAATCCGAGAGCATGAAATTCAAGCTAAAAAAGAGCTTTCAAAAAAGCGCTTATCGGATTGGAGCAAAGAAATAAGTGAGAGTAACGACAATCTACGCCCCAAAATAATCAATGGAACTTCTGAAGAGCAGAATACCGAAAAAGAAATTCACCACAAAACTCTTGATCCCAGAGTTATTGATGAAGCGAGCACAATGTCATCAAGGAGCCTCGAAAACCGTTATACATCTGTTGAACATCCAGAAATCAGAAGATCACTCATTGGCTTGAGTTTGAATAAGAACTGCGTTGATTTCTTAAACGACATATTCAAAAACAACTCGCAAAGATATGATGAAGCAACTCGCAAGAGAATCTACGGATTGGTTGAGGAGTACATAACGTTAAATTCCCTGGAAGGCGTTCAAATTCAGAAACTTGAAGAGAAAATCAAAAAAGCTCTGAAGAAACCTCCAGAACCAATGGATGAACCGTTCGTTATTGAGGATCTTGATGAAAGCTCATCAAAAACGAGACCAAATTTTGAAGATCCCGATGACAGCAATAGTGAACTCAATAAAAGCGTGGGGGAATTAAGTATTTCAGGGACCAGAATCACAGATAAACGCAGAGAGGACCGTATCGAGGAGGCAAAGAGGCGGATTTCAAGCTGCTCAACTAATGGAAGCGAGTCAGAGATAAGGAGGAACTTTGCTATGGGAGCGACCTCTGCATCTGCCTCATCGAGTGGCGTCGCTCCACGTCATACGAGAAGCAAAACTAGAAGGTCTAGCGAAATTGCCACCAGTGACTTAGAAATTATGGATGATGACTTGGAGCTAGTATCAGAGGTTTCGCTCATCTTTAGCTCCCCACAAGAAAAACGAGAACGGCTCACTTCGAAATCACCATCAAGTAAGAAATCTCGGAAAAATACAGGTGAAGCATCTCACTCCTCACATTCGAGATTGGAACCAGAGATTACTCAAATATCAGAGTACCAAAAACCTCACACATCTCCACGCTCTGGAAGCCCAAAATCTTCGAAGGCGCAATGGCCCCGAAATCAAACCTCCAGTTCCATGGCGCCAAAAGCGTCCAAGAAAACCACTTTATCCGATTTATCACGAAGAACTAGGGGCTCAAAGGAAGACAGATTTTCAGAAAATACTCAATCGGATGATGTGGTTGAGCTTACGGAGATAGACGAGGAAAGACACAGCCCTACGAGAAAACCTCAGGAAATGCTTTTGAAAACTACGAAAAGGAGAAGGGTGGAGGCAGTAGAAAAAAGTACCTAGGATTCCCAACAGTAGCCCTTTGAGGTTAAACAACAATAAAATGGGATATAGAAGCGTATATGCTGATACATTAGGTGAAAATAGCCAGGCGTAATTTGAATGGTCCTAGTATAGGATAGTGAGCACTTCCTAGACTTTCCAATAAATTCATACAGGGCGCACAACCAGTGTTCCCCACAGCGAGAAGACAGCGAAACACGTGATCGCGAGAATGCGATATTCGCTACGGATTTCTGATTTCAACACTGGAAACGCCATCAATTATAACACCTGCAATTTTCCAGATGGATGTATCTGGCTCCTCTTCGGAAGCATCTATTAGCCCACAGAGAGAGGTGGCATTAAATGCAAATAAACCTCCACCTTTACCTCCGAGAGAGGAAAAGCCTCGATCAGGGCCCGTGTATACAATGAATTCATCGATTGCAACAATCTTGATGCATAGGCAGACTGAACTCAACGCAAGTCTGACGGTCCCTACCGCTGCAGATGTGTTTTTGAATGAGAAAGTAGACCGCATGGGCATACTCACAGGATGTCAAGTACAAGATGACGAGTTCTGGTCCGTTTTCGTTCGAGATTTTAGCGCAACTTACATAAGAAACCACAGTCCTCAAGAAATAGAGCACAAAGTGCTTCTTGGGATCCCTGCCGACATGTGTTTTGCCATATACTCCAGTATGCTCAACATACCGGCCACTGTCGAAAGCCATACGTATGAAAGCTTAGTGAGAAAAGCCAAATTGGCCAAATTTGAGGGTGGGACCAAACCAGATTCTGATCCAGCCGACCGCATTGAATTGTCCGAAGTATACTGGTATTGCTTAAAGGGCAACGTCCACGTGGCTTCACAAGTTACGGGGCTTTTGAGTCCAGCTTTGATCGAGAATTTTGCTCGGATTTTACAGCTGGCAGAGGGTATATCGAAGCACGACGCGCTTGCGATTTTGTTCAAAATTACTGAAAGACTTGCAACAATCTCAAAGGCTGGGTTTAAATATAAAGGCAGCCGCTGTCTCGAAGATTTTGCTAGCGAACAATTTTTACATGTCACGAAGCAAGGAATTAACATTCTTGCCTTCTTTGATACAGCTTTCGAACGATTCACGGAGGAAAGCATGGAAAAAAACATTTTGTTGAATCTATTCAATATGGTTCTACTTGAAGGACCAGATTACCTCCTTCGTTTACTGTGCTCAGCATTTGAAAGACAGAAGGACAGAGTCTTGAGTCTTGACGGAGACGCTTTGAAAGAATACATTTTCTCAGAGGAATTTTTTTCCGCTATCGACTCAGAGACCTTGGAGAAAAGCTTAAACGTTGACTTTCCCATTATAAAGTACGAAAATGAGTATTCTTTTATGAACTCCAACTCAATCTCAGGAAATGACAACGAAATCTCAAATTTGCAAGAAGCCAACCAGGAGCTTACACTGAAGCTTGAGGGGTTGAAAGAAAAGTTTGTACAGCTTCAAATAACACATGAGGAGATTTTCGGGCAGAACTCAGAGTATGCGAGTAAACTAGCGCACGCACGGGAGGAGAAGGCCTCGTTGCTCATACGGAAAGCGAATCTACAGCAAAAATACAACCAGCTCACGATGCAAGACAATTTGAGCAATACCATCAAAGCTAATAAAGATATCTCAATGGAGAATCAGAATCTCGAACAGCAAATAGAAGTCATGAAGAAAAAGGTGGAAGCGAAGTCTAAGTTGGTTCGATGATCAGTTTCTTTGACAGAGAAAGAGTTCCATGAATTTTTACGAGTTGTCGCGCGTCCGTGAAATAGGATGCATCTTCTTTCATAATTGTATCATTGTTGTATGGGCGTTTCAGGCCTCTGTCGGAATGATGATAACTAGGGTCGGTGAACTACCAAGTTCTGCATGCAGAGCCGAGGCGGGGCCTCTGACAGACTGGAAGCTATGAACTCTACAAGCTGAAGATAAGTCTATTTCGCAGATAACACTGACGAATGTACTGTTTTGCAAAAAAAATAAATACATAAAAGTAAATAGTTTATGATCGGGATTAGGGAACATGAAACACGTAAACTAGATTTGTCTTTCCTGGATGCTTGCTGCATCTCTTTTTGCCTTCGCCTTCCTGGCTTACGCCTTCCTCGCCATTTGCCCTCGCCTTTCGCCTCGCGCCATATTCTTACTCCACTGATGCAACAATCTGATTACCGACTTGGCATCAATCAAGTTTATTATTTTATTTTACAGCGAAGCGGATGAAAAATGCAAGCTGGTTTCCGTTTTGTCCAGCACAACCAGTGAAATGTGATATTTGGCAAAAGTACCGGTCATGGCGACTGGCCCAGGTGCAATATAAAAAAGCGCACCATCAATGCGGCTGAGGAGCCCGTGCGGCATATGAGACCACGAGGAAAGTCGGATCAGAATTGCTCACTTTCAAGACATTCGGCACCATAATTATAAACCGGCACCAAGAGATTTCAAACAAAATGGCCCAAGAATCTGTTGGCGTAGTGGGTGCTGGACTCGTAGGGTGTCTTGCGGCCCTTGCGTTTTCCGCAAAAGGCTACAAAGTTCATCTTTTTGACTTGCGCAGGGACCCCAGACTGGAAACGTCCCAAAGAAGCTTGCGGCTGATCAATTTGGCCGTGAGCGATCGTGGGATCCGTGCGTTACAAGCCGTCGACGAGAAGATGGCCGAGAGAATTCTCCAGCACGTGATCCCCATGAAGGGAAGAATGATCCATGACATCACGGGCACGAAACAGGAGTCTCAGATATACGGGCTTTTCGGCGAGAGCATCAAGTCGATCGACCGCCTGTTTCTCAACAGACAGCTTTTGGACGAGTTGGACAACACCGATGTCGAGGTGCTCTTTGAGCACAAGTTGACAGGTGTATCTGACATCGACAAGCTCGGGGCCCACCCAACGTTGAAATTTGCCACCTCAGGTTCCGAGGAGGCTGTGTTTAACTTTGACTATGTGGTCGGCACAGACGGCGCCCACTCGCAGTTCCGCTACCAGATGCAAAAGACCATGCGCATGGACTTCTCGCAGAAGTACATTGACATGCAATACATGGAGCTTTCCATTCCGCCGGTGGAGGGAGCGGCGGCCACCAGCGCCGGCAGGTTTTCTCTCGACCCAAACCACCTCCATATCTGGCCCAGAAAGGACTATATGTTGATTGCATTGGCCAACGGCGACGGTTCGTTCACCTCAACGTTTTTCAGCCCGTGGGAAATCATCGAGTCGATTGGCAGCGCGGAAGATTTCGTTGCGTTCTTCAAGCAGGCCTTCCCAGATGCCTGTGGCTTGATCGGGGAGGAAGGTTTGAGATACGCCTACGACAACCAGCCCCGAGGCTCGCTTGTGCAAGTATCCGCGAGCCCCTACGCTAGTCCCAACAACAGAGCCATTATTCTTGGAGATGCCGCGCACTCGATGGTTCCTTTCTACGGACAGGGCATGAACTGCGGGTTTGAAGATGTGCACGTGTTGATGCAGCTCCTAGAGCAGAGCAACGGGCTGTTGGACGCTGCCTTCGGCAAGTATACTGGCGCCAGAAAGGCCGATTTGGATGCCATCTGCAAACTTGCGCTCGACAACTACTACGAGATGTCGACCAAGGTCACGGACCCTTTCTACTTGCTCCGGAAAAAAGTTGACTACTACCTAGGCAAGTACGCCAACGACGTGTTGTTCCCATGGGTGCCGATGTACTCTATGGTGTCGTTTCGGGGAGACATCCGATACTCGGAGGCGGTGGCCCGCGAACAGCGCCAAACGAGGGTCCTCAACTGGATACAGTACGTGACCTTGGGCGGATTGGCCATATATGGAGCTGCCAGGGCAGCACAGGTGCTTGAGAAATGGAGGCGCTGATGGCAGAGAAGTATTGGCGTGATACTCGGAGGAATATACAGAGACGTATGAGTTTAGAGAAGTGCTGGCGATTTGAACCTGGCCGGAGGGAGGCGCTGGTGTTTTTGAGCATCGGGGCCCAGATACACGAGCGGAAACGGGCGTGGTGATTTTCTGTGTAAGTCATGTCTAGTCTACGCACTCAGAGCGTCTGGGTGCAAATTTCACGAGTGGAGCATGACTCGGGAATGAGCCGTTTATTCTGCAGCTCCAAAAAGCGCCGCGGTGTCGAAATCGCTCCAGAAAGCGGCGGGGAGCCGAAGTCACTCCAAAAACCAGGAATCCATTCATACCGCCTTCTTGCCGACTGTGCTTCAAGGAGCACAAGGAGAAGTTCGACAGGGCATTGTTGACCCGAGGTGCGGAGGTTCCATGCTCGTCGTGCGGAAATTGAAAAAAAAAAAATATGACTGATGAAGCCGCGAGAAATAGCGGTGAGAAAACGAGGTAGACGCAAAAAAAAAGAAAGCGCCGGAGGCAACACCCCATACTACACACTGCTCCTGTCACTTGTACATAGATAAACGGCAGATAGCGCAAAAAGGAGCCATAGTCTCGAGTCCCAGCTACCACCCACATCTCGCAGCTTTTTCCCGGCCGATCTTCTCCAGCGCCATTGACTCAGTATTTCTGCCGGACCCAGTATTTTCGCCAGACCCAGTATGTTTCGCCAGACTCTTGCCCGGCAAATACGCCCCGCCAGCGGCAAAAAGCTTTTGAGCACGAGCTCCGTTTTGTGCAACGAGAACAAGGGCAAGTCGCCCTTGGAAGTGTTTTTCCAGACATTCAAGCAGGAGGTGAAGAAGTCAAGCGAGCTCAAGGAAAACATCAAGGCATTGCAGGATGAAAGGGGCCGTGTGGCCGAGAGCGAGGCGTTCAAGCGCGCCAAGGAGGCGTACGACCGGGCACAAAAAGGCAGTTCTGCCGCGGGCAAGGTCGTAAAAAAAACCGCGGAGGCCGTGGGCGGCGTTGCCCACAAGGCGTGGGAGTCTCCGGTCGGCAAGGGTGTGCGGACCACGGTCTTAACCGGCGCGGAGGCCGCGGACAAGGCGTTTGAGCCCGTCCGCAAGACGCAGGTGTACAAGGACATTGGCAATGTGATTGACGACGGCTCGTCCACTGCCTACGGCGGGTTCTTGACCAAGGAACAGAGAGAGGAATTGAGAAAGAAGGAGCTACAAAAGAGGCTCCAGGAAGGCAAGGGCTGGAAGCCCGTCAAGGAAAACGAGGAGGCCGGCGGCGCGTTGGTGGCCACGGACAGCAAGCCCACGGGCCCCAGCGTGGGCCAGAAATGGGAGGACTTCAAGGTGCGCAGTCCTGTTGGCCGTGCCATTGTGTTGTTGAAGGAGCGGTGGGACGAGTCCGAGAACGGGTTGATCTCGCTCGTGAGAACTGTGTTTGAGAAGATCGCGGGCTTCTTCTCCGAGACGGAGCAGGCCCAGGTCGTGAAGCAGTTCCGCATGATGGACCCCACGTTCCGCGTCACGGACTTCACGCGCACCTTGACCAACTACATCGTGCCGGAGTTGTTGGACGCGTACATGAAGAACGACCAGGAGGTGTTGAAGACCTGGTTCAGCGAGGCGCCGTTCAACGTGTGGCAGGCCAATAACAAGCAGTTCATCCAGCAGGGCCTCTTCTCCGACGGCAAGATCTTGGACATCCGCAGCGTGGACATCGTCACGTGCAAGATGTTGCAGCCCAACGACACGCCGGTGGTGGTGGTGTCGTGCCGCGCCCAGGAGATCCATTTGTACCGCAAGGCCAAGACCGGCGAGGTCGCCGCCGGTGCCGAGGACCACATCCAGATGAGCACGTATGCCATGGTGTTCACCCGCGTGCCCGAGGAAATGGACAACGAGACCACCGAGGGCTGGAAGGTGATTGAGTTTGCCCGTGGCGGCTCGAGACCCTTCCATTGAGGGGCTTCACCGCTGCGGAGGACAGGCGTCGAGGGGACTAGCGAGGAGTGTTAGTCCAGGGACCTGTTTCCCATGGAGTCTGGCCCACACAAGGACTCACTACATAAACCAGGGGCCACGTGTGGCACAGGCACCAGAGTTTCTAGCAATAAATACACTACATCCCCCATGCGTGGGTGTGCCTGGCTGCGCATTCTCCCGTGATGGTCAGTGCCGATCACGGCTTTACGCCAGGCGGTGGGGAGCGGCCAAAACAAGGCCAAGACAAGGCTTCACAGTTTGATTTTCCTCGCCTTTCTCGATGTGCGTTTCGAAAACCAACTCCTGCGAATATGGCTTCCCGAGAACTTTCCATTCAAGCTCCGAATGTCTCTTCTGTAGCAGGCTCCCCGGTCTCCCAGCGAAGGTCCTGCAAATAAGCTGCTCAGGCCATCTCGGAACAAATTACCCACATAAGCTCTTTGGGCCAGCCTTCTGGCGAGGGTGCTCGTCATGCCCCCATCCAGGCGGTGATGACGCTGGAGTGATGTTTTTTGAAGCGAAACAAGGAAAAAGACTTGTGTTCATGGATATCTCCTCCGGAAGAGAGTATGCAGGAATATTATTGAACATTTCCCATCAGATCATAGAGACAGCGTATCCACCCGACCGTTCCTACTTTTTGACTCTGAAGTTAGTTCTAGTGTGAAGCGTGTCTTTGAGTCCGCCTCTCGCGCATTTTTTTAATCAAGCGGCCGGTCGCAAACGACGTCATTTTCCTCAACCAAAACGCTCTTCTGTCAGCCCTCCCAGGTTTTCATCCCAGCATGCCGCACTGTTTCATACGCACAACGTATGTTCAGCACGACAAGGTCCATTTTTCAAAAGATACATTGATCCATGCCCTCCCAACTACCTCGTTAATGACCACACATGCTTAAATTTCCATCGAAGCACTCCAAGCACCAATCAGTTCCATCATCACAAGCCGCCCGCTTCCTATTACCGCCCACTTCCTATTACCTCCTGCAGGCGATACCCTCAACCCAGAGTAATATACCAACCTTCCCAAGTACTTCATCAACCGTCCATTCCCACAATCCCACTCAGCCAGTCTGCTTCCCGCTATTCCAGCCAGACAGCCTCGACCTGCGTATCCCCACCCCTTCCCCAAGCGACGTGCCTCATTTTCCAACACAAGTATTCTACCAGACCCCAAGACGTCTCTATGTGCACACCCACATCCACCGGCGGAGACACGGGCTGTCCGCGACACGGGCGCGCCGCACCCGTGCACCAGGCCTCGTCCCGGCTCAACATTGAACGTGACACGAAAAAGACACATGGCTCCCAGATCCAGACGCCAGACTCGCCGAAAGCCACGCCAAAATGTCGGACGGATTCGCCACCAAGGACGAGGTGGACACCGTGTTTCTGCGGTTGAAACAGAACCCCGCCAACCAGACGTGTTTCGACTGTGCCAACAAAAACCCGACCTGGACGTCGATCCCCTTTGGCATCTTGCTCTGTCTCGAGTGTTCCGCCGTGCACCGCAATCTCGGCGTGCACATCACGTTTGTGAAATCGCTGAATTTGGACCAATGGCAGCGCATCCAGTTGCGCCACTTCAAGTTCGGCGGCAACGCGGTGGCGGCGGATTTCTACAAGAAAAACGGCGGCTCGCAGTTCCTCAATGCGGGGGCCGATCCCAACGCCAAGTACACTAGCCCCGTGGCCCGCAAGTACAAGGACAAGTTGAAAAAGACCGCGCAGCAGGACGCGTTGAAACATCCGGATGTGGTCACGCTAGAAGACGACCTGGACTCGTTGTCGTTGGTGGGCAGCTCGTCGAACGCGGCCTCCACCGACGATTTCTTCTCCAACTGGACCAAGCCCGCCACAGACACGCCCTCTCCGTTGCAGTCGCGCCTGGCCACGCCCAGTCTCGTAGACGACGCGATGCCCGGCGCAAAAAAGACGCTGGCGCCGCGCCCCGCCGCCAGAACCAGCCGAGCCTCGGCTTCCGCGGCCAAAAGCTCCATTTTGTCCTCCAAGGGCAACGGGCCCAAGACCACGCGTGCCCGGCGCGTCAACAAAACCACCGAGGAGATCGACTTCGACGAGATCGAGAGAAAGGCCAAGCAGGAGGCCGAGGAGGCTAAGAGATTGGGGTACAACCCGCAGGCCAGCACCTCCTCCTCGCCGGCCGCTCCTGCGCAGGCGCCCCGGCCTTCCGTTTTGGCCTTGGGCAGCACCTCGGCGGCCCCTGCAGCCCCCGTCCAGGACACCACCCCCAAGCTCCAGAAATTGGGCTTTGGCATGGTGCAGGGCGAAAACAAAGTCGAGCTGGCCAGCACCAAGAAGTACAAGGAGGTCCAGTACACCGGCAATGTGGCCAACAAGTACGGCACACAGAAGGGCATTTCTTCGGACGAGTTCTTCGGTAGAGGCCCCCAGTTTGATGAGGGCGCAAAGGCAGAGGCCCGCCAGAAGCTCCTGGCTTTTAGCGGCGCCCAGTCAATTTCGTCGAGCTCGTACTTCGGCGAGGACGAGGCGCAGGGGGCACAGCAGGCCGGCAGCCGGCAGGGCGACGGCCTCGGCTTGTCGGATATAGAGTCTGCCGCACGTGACTTTGCCTCCCGGTTCAGTGGGAACGCCAACCAGGACTTGGAGGTGTTGAAAGATGCGTTGGAAGATGGAGCCACCAAGCTTGGCGGTCTTTTGAGGGACATTTTACGCTGAACACTGCCCCATGTTCTGGCCTTCATATTATAATACACGGAATGAGCAAGACAGAAGGCCATTTTTCCAGCGCACGGTGGGTACTTAAATTATTTTACTATCATCCAGATCTTTTTTTTCCTAGAACTTTGGCAAATCTAGCGAATACACGTTGAGCGAGCCAGTTCTAGGAGTAATGGTAATCGAATGGAACCCTGCACACATCGCCTGCAAAGGTCTCTTCAGCCTTGAAGGCAGATTCTATTTGACCTAAGCACAGAAATAGGCTCTGAATTGAAGTTGCATTTGTAGTCGGGCGGAGAGCCGACTGCCACTTTCTCAACACGCCTGAAGACTTTTCCATACTTTACTACACACTATGCCCATCATAATTAGCAGCAACAGCGAGCTGCAAGAACTGCTATTTGAGACTAAAAAAATATAAAAACTTAGCGTCTGCGGATTCGAATCACAGCACTAGGCTCTAGAATATTCCAAGTGTCCAGCAGGGTTGGGCCTCTGGAGCTCCGATCTTTGAATCCCCCAAAAATTCGCTGTTGCGTACTCACCGTTCAAAAAGTACATTCTAATGGAAAACCTTTCTCAAAACGACAGCTTCCGGTAATGCGGGGAAAGAAGTTTTAAGCCACCTCAGCAGGCGGTGGCAAAATAATCTCACCGAAATGATTTGTGGAGATCTCGAGAATTCAACTGTCGCGCTTTCAATGGCGTGTGCAAAACAAGGGCGTACAGTACCGATATTGACGCTGCATTAATACCGTTGCAGAAAGCAGTCAGACGGGTGAGCGGAAGATGTTCCCGTCGTTGATTAGTCGACTCCGTGAACAAAAGATATACAAAACGCACTACGCTAGCTGTTTCTTGAACTCCCGCAACAAAACAAATGACATCACATAAAGCCAAGAAATTGTCAAATCTACTTGTATTGGTCAGTGCTTGAATGCATTCTGCCAGGCCTTTGGTTTGGTGGTAACCAGCGCTTATGCCCGAGCGTGACCTAAGTACAGTCAGAGACTGCATAATGTTGCCCACCCCCACCACGCGAGGCTGGCCCATGGGGAACGTCATTGGTGCTGCACAGCGCATTTACTGGGGGACGACGTAGAAAGTAGTTTAAGAACGGCTGAGCCTAAAATTATATGCCCTTGTCGGCTCACAGAAAAATGGGCGAAAGTGAGCTTCATGTGTATGCTGCCCTTATGAACACTCTTCTAAAAGTGTGACCTCACAAATTTTTACCCATCGTCCTTGTTTGGACCTTGTGTATATTGCATCAGGGCGACTTACTGCGGAGTCAAACTTGCCGAACGTCAGCTGCAGGCGGGACATTCTTTTAGATACCGGCGGGATTTTCGGAACTCTTGCCCCAGAGAGGGCAGCGCAAATGCGAGCCCCCGCCGAAAAATGGGGGAAATACGCGCTGAGTGCAGGAATATACAAGCAAATCGGCTTTGAGATACAGGGCTCGTGTGCTTGAGCCAGTTTTACTTGCTAAGATTTTTTTCTTTTTTTTTTGTGTGGCGCCTAAGTTGACCCGACATGCATATTTGGGACATGAGGCGTCCCAAATGAAGGAAACCTACGAAAAAAAAGGTCTGAGAGCGTGATGACCAGTACCATCCAGGAACACCCCGGACACAAGCTATTCCTCCTCTTTTCGAATATAAATAGACAGGTTCCCCCCAATGTTCTGCTTCAAAAAATTCATTATTACAACTTAGATTCAAACACAAATACACTCTTTGCTCTTATAGACACATCCACTGACTCTTTTTACATTTGATCATCAAGGATACAATGTCAGACGAGGCTGCTGTTTTGAAAAGCTCCGGCACTACGCTGTCGGGGTCTTCTAAGCAATTCAACGATGATAACGTACTTCTCAAAGCCCTGAACGAAAGAGAAGGTGAAGTCGGAAACATCTTATCGCAATACTCTGAAGAACAGGCCATGCTGATGGGCCGCAACTATGCTTTGAAGCACAACTTGGACCCTGAACTTTTTGGCAAGGCTGCCGCTGTGGCCAGAAGCCCCAGCGACTTCAACTCGATGGAGTTTTTGAATGAGGACGAGAAAGTTGCGCTCATGATGGAAATGACACACAAGTGGCGTATTCCAAGAAAGTTAATTGAGGTCATTGCTTTGGGTTCCATGGCTGCCGCCGTGCAAGGTATGGATGAATCCGTCGTCAACGGTGCCACCTTGTTCTACCCCAGTGCAATGGGAATCCCCGACATGAAGAACTTCGACTTGATCGAAGGTTTGATTAACGGTGCTCCATACCTCTGCAGTGCCTTCGTCTGTTGGTCTTCTGACTACTGGAACAGAAAGTTGGGCCGTAAGTGGGTCATTTTCTGGACTTGTGCCATTTCAGCTCTTACTTGTATCTGGCAGGGGTTGGTTACCTTGGACTGGTACCATTTGTTCATCGCACGTTTCTGTTTGGGTTTTGGTATCGGTGTCAAATCCGCTACCGTTCCAGCATACGCCGCCGAGACGACTCCCGCTAAGATTAGAGGCTCGTTAGTGATGCTCTGGCAGTTTTTCACTGCGGTCGGAATCATGTTTGGTTACGTCGCGTCTTTGGCTTTCTACTATATTGGTGACAATGGCATTGCTGGCGGCTTGAACTGGAGATTGATGTTGGCATCCGCCTCTATCCCCGCAATCCTTGTGTTGATTCAAGTACCTTTCGTGCCGGAGTCTCCTCGTTGGCTCATGGGTAAAGAGAGACACACAGAGGCGTATGATTCGCTCAGACAATTGAGATTTAGTGAGATCGAGGCTGCCCGCGACTGCTTCTACCAATACGTTTTGTTGAAGGAAGAGGGTGCTTATGGCGGAAAGTCTTACTTCACCAGAGTCAAGGAAATGTTCACCATCAGAAGAAACAGAAACGGTGCTTTGGGTGCCTGGATTGTTATGTTCATGCAGCAATTCTGTGGTATCAATGTCATCGCTTACTACTCGTCTTCGATTTTTGTCGAATCCAACCTTTCTGAGATCAAGGCCATGTTGGCTTCCTGGGGTTTCGGTATGATCAACTTCTTGTTTGCTATTCCGGCGTTTTACACCATCGATACATTCGGCCGTCGTAACTTGTTGCTCATGACCTTCCCGCTTATGTGTATATTCTTGCTCATGGCAGGATTTGGTTTCTGGATTCCATTTGACACCAACCCTGACGCCAGATTGGGTGTGATCACGACTGGTATCTACTTGTTCGCTTGTGTCTACTCTTCAGGTGAGGGTCCAGTTCCATTTACATACGCAGCTGAAGCATTCCCCTTGTACATCCGTGATGTGGGAATGGGATTTGCCACATCCACCACTTGGTTCTTCAACTTCATTTTGGCCTTCTCCTGGCCAAGAATGAAGAACGCCTTCAAGCCACAAGGTGCCTTCGGATTTTACGCTGCCTGGAACATTGTCGGTTTCTTCTTGGTGTTGTGGCTCTTGCCTGAGACTAAGGGTTTGACTTTGGAAGAGTTGGACGAGGTATTTGATGTGCCATTGAGAAAGCACGCGCACTACCGTACCAAAGAGTTCTTCTTCAACATTAAGAAGTATTTCCTCAGACAAAACCCAACCCCATTGCCCCCATTCTACGCTCACCAGAGAATGGCCGTTACTAATCCAGAGTGGAACGAGAAGACTGAGGTTTCTTACGAAGAAAAGATCTGAGGCAATATTATACTTCCTACATTTTAAAGCTGGACTATTAGACTGATTTACGTTACAAATAAACAAGACTTATAATACTACCAAGGCAAGTAGCCCTCTTCCGATTTGCACTCGCTTGATTTCCAGTACTATCCTTGTGCGTTTCTCCCGATTAAAACAAGCTTTTTTCGTCTTTGTCTCACCAAAATTTAACTCATATTATGATGAAGATGTTGTGCTTCGAGAATGTGGATTGAAAGGTTACTGAATTTAGAATGCTCGGAGGGAAACAACCAATCTGAGGATGGCTGCACGAAACATTACGTGAATATTCCTTTTTTGGCATTCAAAGCGGGATTGTGCGGCGGCGGCATTAGCGGAAATGATAAGCAAGTAGGTCAAAAGACTTCTCATGAATCTTGAGTTGATCTGCAAAACATCGCATTGATCGGATACGTGAAGCAAATCTGGCTCAATTCCAGTCGTAATTTTATTCATATCGCGTCCGCGAAATGAGGAGATGCTGCAAGATTTGGAAGGTCCAGGGGATTAAGGGTCCCTTCGGAAAAAGGTACTGAAGACTCAATTAAGACGCCGTACATGTTATAGTCTCGTGAGCCCACTAAATGGAAATTTGGGGCAACAGACTCGATTTGGTTCAAATGTATCATGTGGACAAACAATTGAATTGAGTGACAAACCCATCGTAAATCGGACAATCTGCATGGAATCTTCACCTTGTCGTCTTTAGTTTCCACCTGTGACTAGTAACTGCTGCAAAACACTGCAGATCTTTTTGAAAGTGTGCTATATGCATGATTTCATCAGATCTTTCAATTTGAACATTGTTGGTCTATAAGAGGGGCTAGATCGCCCTAAAAAATGAAATACCAGAGTATAAAGTACGGGGCTCACAAGAATCGTCTGCTCAGGGTTTTGTGTGTTCTCTCAGAGGTCGCTCTAATTCTATATTCGGGCCCTAAGAAGAGAGGGGCATGGTATTCGTTTTATAGCTTAAATTTCAACATATTGACACTTTAAGGTGTCAAAATAGGCATGAATTACCCCTTTGGGTACTATCAGCCTAGTGAAATAAATTTTCGTTTAGCAGGGGCGAAAATTCGTTTCTGCGTGTCTAAAATTCTGGGAGACTGAACGCCGAAGCGCTGGCAGACATTTGAAATTTATGATGAAGCCTTATTCCACCTCATACAATGTCACACCATGCTTTGATCTCGCACATGCTATCTAAAGTGATCTAGTGATTTGGAATGAAATCTCTTCATACAAACCGAGAGAGCAGTACTACCAAAAAATTTAAGTACCAGCAGTGGTTCGACAACGTTGGAACTTTACAAAAAATATTTGGTAGTGTTTCTCTTGTTCGTACAAAGGTTCGGCTACTTGTCTGTGTACGACACTGACTGAGAACTGAAATCTCGATAGCGACAATAGATAAAGCCGTCGTTCAACAATAATTACACCAAAAAAAAAAACAGTCGAGTGTTGTGCCGATACACTAGCAAGCAGTAAATTTGGGTTTCGAAAAGATCTCGTTGGCCGAGCAGCACACGGATAATTAGAGCTTAGTAATACATGCCCTTGCCACTGAAGTCGGGTTAGCCGATGCCGAAATTTGGAATAACAAGTTTAGGTGTTGTGAGCGTTTTTTCTTGTGTTTTCCCGAAACACCAACTCCAAGATGGATCTACTTCTAGATCTGAGAGTATTACATACTGAGCCAAACTTCAATTGCTCATGACATTTGATGGCTTTTCCCGCAGTATGTCATAACGTTTTTAGATACGACAGCTTCTTAAAGACAGAATTTTATCAAAGCTAGCATTTACTTTCTGAAGGCCTAGATCATGCCGGGCAATACTGCCCACCAGAGCTTGCTTTTGGCTGAATTAATGGACCATCTTCTCGCTCAAATTTAGCCACAACACCTTGAAGTTTATTATCGAGCACATCGGCTGTAGTTTTTTGAAGTTCGTTCATGGTCATTTGCAGAATGACCATCTGGTAGATCGCGGAACTCCGCGTGATCTCCTCACTCAGACCAAGTCCGCCATAAATCCGAATCAAACTCAAATCACCTGAAGACTTTTCCAATAGATTTTGTGAGGCAATTCCCACAGCAATGTTTGGGAATACAAGATCAGGTGCTTTTTCAAACTATCAGAAATTCTATCCCCTAGATTCATCTAAAGAGCTCGACACTATTTAGGAGCACGGGGAAAACTTGCTCGAAACTGCTTCGTTTTTTGTCGGTAATAAACCCGCAAATGGAAACAATAACTGTCTATATCCTGGGATTCATACAGACCCGATTGAAATGCTTATTCTCTACCAGGTTTCTCCGCACTTCTTTCCCCCAAAAGACAAGGTCTGCAGGCTTGGGTCACATGATTTGATGGTATTCAAAAAACGTACTCTCATCTTTCTGGGGGACGACCCTGCCAAACTTCAGACTAAGCCACAAAAAACGCCAGTGCGTATGCTAACCGATGTCAGCAAAGTATATGCTTCTCAAACCAAGGCATGCGAGATGACTCGTCTTCTAAAGGTTGCTCTCCTGTAAAGCTAAAAAGTCAATATAGTTGTTCTATTGATGATGCTCATAAAGAATAAAAGTTGTTTTTTCGATTGCTTTGCCGAATTGCAACACCGGGCATTCACGCATACTCATAAACCCATCTTTATACTTGGCTTATATAATCAAGCTCGTGATCCAGCGCTTATCAAGCTGAGCAATCCTGGGGCCTCGCGTTTTTAATTTCCGCACTCATCTCGGCGATCTCCACTGTTGTATTTGGCCCGATGACGAATTAGGCAAAGCGATGCGATCAATTGAGCGCGCGTCTATGGCCTCTACTATTATCGCCCCTAGTATTGATGGAAAGTTTCAACAGAAACTTTGGGTGAAAGAAAGGCAATATTGTGTCGCATTTGTGCCTCGCTTCTCGTAACCAACGGGCGAGTGTTTTTGCTTGTTTGAAGTGAAGAAAGAAGGCCCAATGGTTTTCCTCCGCGAACAATCTGTGGATTATTCGCACCTTTCAATTCCTGTTTCTGCCTTGTCTAGCGCTGCCACCATACATAAAGAGGGTTCTCCCCGCAGCCTGTCCTCTGGCTCTAAAAACAGGATTTTACGTCTGGGTTCATAGCACCAAACACCGCGTGCGTACCAATCTAGAGTCAGAAAAAATAGCGTGACGTGTCAGCCAACTAAAACATTCAAAACGCGAGAAAATAAATAAACTTCAAGTCTGTCAGCACCATCGCAGCCATTGAAATGACGATCAATGCAAGGTATTTGGCCGCGCTCAGCAAGAACCCGTTGCTCGTAAAGATGGCGACATCTGGGGTTTTGTCGTCATTGAACGAAATCAGTGCCTCCATATTTTCGGGTCAATTTCAGAACAAAAAGCTACGCCTCTTTGGCAAGGAGAAAACCGTCAGCCACCCCTTTAGCTCCAAGATCGGTCTGATGGTGATTTATGGGGCCTTGATGTCTACGCCAGTTGCGCATTATTATTATGGACTCTTGAGCAAAGTTTTCGGCGGCAAACAAACGTCCAGGGTGAAGTTGCTCCAACTCGTCACGACTCTTTGCACGTTGTCGCCTTTTCTAAGCGGGCTTTACGTGTCGTGGCTCTCCATCATCAATTCATACCAGTGTTCCTCCGAGGGTCTTCGCACCAACTTATCCCGGTTGGTATCCGTGATCAAAGCTGGCTTGAAAAACAATTTCTGGCTTGTCTACAGGACGTCCGCCATTACGATGCTAATTGCGTTGGCGCTTGCACAGAACTTCGTGCCGCCCGAGCTCTGGGTTGTGTTCACCAACTTCATCTTTTTTGTTGTGGGCACTGTGCAGAACACCAAAATTAAGATCAGACAGAGAAACGAGCGGCTCAAGAAGTCCGAGTAGAAAAGTAGACAAGGGCCAAAACTTTAGATTCTATTCAAGAACAGCAAAAAAAAGACATTTATAAAGGGAAAGAAAACCTCAAGAGTGATGCCTAGGCAGCCCTCGAAGGATCCATGGTCTGGCCATTAGGAGGCCGCCACAGAGTTCAAGGGCTACTTGGCACTATTTTCTATACTAATGAGAATTTCAGTTACATGGATCAGGAACAGTGCAGCTACGTGTGTACATGACAATAAGATTTTTTCTGCTGGAGCGTAAAAAAAAGCATTGTGTAATCTGTGTGCTATTGTTCATGTCCAATAAGATTTCTCCCAGTCGCACCGAGTTCTTAAATCGTCGGATGCTTGGCAATGAGGATCTCGATCTCAAGGACAAGCGGGCTCTGATTCTCATCCTGAATATTTGCCGGACCAGACAACAAAACGCGCAGCCCATTTGCTTACTAATAATTCCAGCAATTCGAGCATACGCCGCGTCATTTGTAGGACGCCGTGTCTTCCCCGGATAAAACCACGGGTAACGTTATTGGCTTCCCCGCGCTGCACGTGACTCGCGTGAGGATTTATAGTGCAAGAGAGCAACTATATGAGCGGCCCAAATCAGGCCCACACGCTCTTTCACACATGTTTAAGCTTTCGTCCGCCTCTGTTACCAATTCCTTTTCTGTGATTGCAAAGTCCCAACTTGCCACCAGAATGTTGACTGCACAGGCCGTGGTATTTTCCGAACACGGCGAGCCAGCAGACGTGCTCCGCACACACACTTACGAAATCGACGAGAACAACTTGGATGCTAACAGCATCATTGTGAAGACCGTCGGTTCTCCCGTCAACCCCTCAGATATCAACCAGATCCAGGGAGTGTATCCATCGCAGCCCGAAAGGACGACTGCTTTGGGAACCGACCAGCCGCTGGCTGTTTGTGGAAACGAGGGGTTGTTTGAGATCCTCCATGTCGGCTCGGAAGTGAAGAACTTCCAGGTCGGCGACTGGGCGGTGCCCACCTCTGTGAACTTCGGCACGTGGAGAACGCATGCGTTGTGCTCCGAGGACAAAATGATGAAGTTGCCCAACCCCAAACAGTCCAAGGCCAACGGCAAGCCACAGGGCCTCACAGTCAACCAGGGAGCCACCATTTCCGTCAACCCCTTGACTGCGTTTTTGATGCTCAACCACTACGTGAAGCTCGAGCCGGGCAAGGACTGGTTCATCCAGAACGGCGGCAACTCTGCCGTGGGAAAATTCGCTACGCAGATCGGCCGCATCTTGGGCATCAACTCCATCTCTGTTATCAGAGACAGACCAAACTTGCAGGAGACCATTGAGGACTTAAAAACCAACCAAGGGGCCACGCACGTGATTACCGAGGAGCAGAACAACTCGAGGGAATTCACCGACGTCAAGAAGTGGGTGAAAGAGACGGGTGGCTCCATCAAGCTCGCCATGAACTGCGTTGGCGGGAAGTCGTCCACGGCCGTGGCCAGAAAATTGTCTCCGGACGGTTTGATGTTGACCTACGGAGGCATGTCGTACCAGCCCGTGATTTTGCCCACGTCCTTGCACATCTTCAAGAACATCACGAGCGCCGGGTTCTGGGTCACTGAGCTCTTGAAATCCAACCCACAGTTGAAGAGAGATACCATGAACCAGATTGTCCTGTGGTATGAGGAGGGCAAGCTCTCTGATGCCAAGTCTGTTGAGCTGAAGTTCGACGGAGGAGACTTGGCCAAGTTGTACCAGGAAGCGGTGGCCAACAGTAAGAATGGCAAGCAGCTTGTGGTTTACTGAACAAGGAGGCTCGACGGCGCCTAGGCCCGTCACGACGCTATACATTGCGGAACTGACGTATGGGCCCACGAGAAAGTAGAGTAGAAAGATTAGAAATAGACCAAACAGGCCAGCCCGCAGGACTTCTAGTGTGGGACATACATATCCGCAGACAGTAGACCCGAAGTCACGACTGTGGGCCAGATCGCAGAACGCCCAATGCACGGGCGCCCACTAAGGCTCCATGTCTCTGAACACTAGCCCAAGCACTGCCGGAAACACGCCTCTGTCCGGTGCACTTGGTCATATTTGCATATTTCTTGCACAGAACTGAACGCTTCCCCGGATTATGCATGAGCACAGCAAGCGAAGAAACCGCTCTTATATGGTATAACGGTCGCACAGCCATCGTTAGAGAATACGTCTGGTTCCCCAAAATGGACAGTCAGGGAAGTTCAGCGGAGACGACATAAACGCTTCACTTCTTCCCTGAATCAAGGCCATTATTCTACGTTGCTCTATTTTAATTCCGGCCATGGCCGCCAAGGGAATCCAGCCCGGGCCTCGTAATTCGGAGCTTCCGACGCGCCCCGCAATAAGGCGCCTCTTGCCAGCGTGCACAGGGCTTTCCATAAAGGCTCTTCATCCAACGGGCCGGCGAACGCCGAGCGCGCATGCCGCCGTTCAATAATGGTGGTGCGATAAGAGCACCCGGCCAGCGAGAAATATCATGACCCGCTGGCGGCGTTTTTGAACTGCTGCGACCCGGTCCCAGCATAGCAGCACGTGCCAGCGCAGTACGGCTGGGCGCTCGTTTCTAGGAGAGATATGTGAATATTGGCTCTTTCCATCTGTTCAATAGAGCCTCTCTGATTAGCTGCTGGGCTCCACGATATGAGAGCGCGCGGAAACTGGGCCCCGGGCCACGTGACCGTCGGGTCTTCGCTCCGGCCCGCGGCGCAGCCAGATGCAAGACTGATAAAGGTGCCAGATCACTCCACGCGAGTAAATTAGAGAGACCCGAAATATTGTTTCGGGCTCCACCTTTTCTCTTTTTCTCTTTTTCTCTTTTTTCCTTTATTCTCGCGCTTGACTTCCGGGACACCCTCTCGTCACTGCCCATACACGCCGCACCGCCAAGATGTCTCGTGCCCTCGCATCCAGCCACACGCTTATCGACGATAAGCTTATTCCTGCCACGGTCATCTACTCACTTGAGCTGGGCTGCATTCTTCACATCACCAAGCGCATTCTCCAGAACCACGACTCCTTGCTCAAATCGTATGCGGTTGACGCGGAAAACTTCAAAGACGTGTCGCCTTTGGTGGTGATGCCGGGGTTGGTCGATGCCCATGTGCACTTGAATGAGCCCGGCCGCACGGAATGGGAAGGCTTCGCCACCGGAACACAGGCTGCTGCCGCCGGCGGTGTCACCACGGTGATAGACATGCCTTTGAATGCCATCCCCCCCACCACGACCATAGAGAATTTCAACTTGAAGATCAACGCCGCAAAGGGCAAAACATGGGTCGACGTTGGCTTCTGGGGCGGCATGGTCCCGTCCAACCTCAGCGACTTGAAGCCCTTGATCCGCATGGGGGTCCGCGGGTTCAAAGGCTTCATGATCGACTCGGGTGTTGACGAGTTTCCGGCAATCAACCCGCAGTACATCATGAAGGCCATGAAGAAAGTGCAGGGCGAGCAGACCGTGTTGATGTTCCACGCGGAGATGCAGCCGCACAAGTCTCACCTGCTCCCTGTGCTCGTGGAGCAGCACGGGAACTCGATTCCTAAATTGGTGCGGAACGAGAGCCACGCCCACTTCTTGCTTGACGAGAATACTAGCGGGGCGTCGGAGTCCGAAGATATCGAGTCGTGCCGCAGCGACAGCGACCACGACACCACCGATGTCTCCTTCTCAATCGACCAGTCGGACAACGGAATCGCTCACAACGTCGAGGCCCTCGATCTAGGCATGTCGGCCTCGTTCATCACCAGGGCCCCGAAGCCTGTGGTCAACTTGTTGAACAGACACAAATCTTCAAGTGCAGATTCCAAGGACCACGAGGCTCCGCCCAGAACCAACCGGTTCGTTGACGACGGGTCCTTGACTGAGCAACAGATCAAGGCCTTGGCCAAGTCTCCGTACTTGCAAGCCTCGGAGCCCCAGTTCGGTAGGCTTGCGCGGTTGGCCAACCCAAATCACGAAAGAGAGGCGAGCTTGGACAAGTTCCGGTCGCCGTTGGCGAAACCGTTGGATTTCGACTCCGAGAAGTTCATGGAGAACCTCGACGAGCCTTTGAAAATGGCCCAGCAGGAGGATACGGACTTGGCCGACGTCAACCCCACGTTCTACTCGTCCTTCTTGGCGTCGAGGCCAGACAGTTTCGAGACCACGGCCATTGCGGAGATCGTCAACTGCTCCATGAAAAACCCGCTTGTTCCGCTCCACATCGTGCACTTGGCGACCAACGAAGCCGTTCCCTTGATAAAAGCCGCCAAGGCCCGCGGGTTGCCGATAACTGCCGAGACCTGCTTCCATTACTTGTCTCTCACAGCCGAGAAAATATCAAACTGCTCTACCCACTTCAAGTGTTGCCCACCTATCCGGACCGAGGGGAACCGGCAGCTTCTATGGAAGGCGCTCCGAAACAACGTCATTTCAACAGTCGTCTCGGACCACTCGCCATGCACGCCCGATTTGAAGGGATTGGAGAAGGGCGATTTCTTTTCTGCCTGGGGAGGCATCTCGTCGGTGGGATTCGGCTTGCCCATTCTTTTCACCGAGGGCCAGAAGTTGAGCCCTCCAGTAAGCATCGCCGAGATTTCGAAATGGTGCTCATGGAACACCGCCAAACAAGTCGGGCTTTCCCACAAGAAGGGAAAGATTGCAGTCGGATTCGACGCGGACTTGCTTGTCTTCGACCCTACAGCAAGCTATGTGGTTTCCAATGAGCAGGTTTTCTTCAAAAACAAGTTGACGGCGTATGATGGAATGCAATTCCAAGGACGAGTGGTCGAAACCTACGTCAGAGGGCACCCGGTGTTTTCATTCCAGGTGGGACATTCGGAGATGGCCAAAGGGAAATTAATATTGGAGCCCAGATCTTGAGAGCGCTACTTCAGATGGAGGGCCATGGTTAGGTGCCGCATGGAGGCCACACAATCAAGGAAATATAGGTCTAGAAATATTAGTGTCAAGAAAACCGGAAACACACAGTAATCCAAAATTCAGAGTGCACGATGAATCTGGGAATTGCTTTCCGATAGTAGACTAGACCTATAATTCGCGTGCGCACCAACATTGCATGGGCTCTCAACTGCGAAGCTGAATTTCAACAAGATAAATCCACATCGTAGAATTTCACATTAGCGTGGTAGGTGTCTTCATTCAAAAATTTCTAAAAACAACACCTGAAGCTGGAACATTACCAACGCCAACCGCCCAACCTCAAATATGCCCGCCTCTCAAGACAAGGTGTCTTCCGAAGACAAGTTGCTCGAGGATTTCCAGGGCTTTTTCATCGAGGAGACAGACCCGCAAATTGCCGAAAAACGCAAGGAGGTGTTGAAAACGCTAAGAGAAAATGACGTGGAGTCGTTTCCGTCAGACTTGACTGTAATCACGGCGTTTGATGAGGCTTTGCAGTGCTTTTCGATAGGAGGGCAGGTGAGAAACTACTACAGATATGGAACGTACTCGCTTTGCGAGGCGGCGAGGGAGAAAATGTGGTTTGCGTTCAAAAACGGCGCCATCACCAACCACCAAGAAACGGACGTCGATGCAGTGGCGAACAACCCGAAGGAGCTACAAAGAAGAAAAACCGTGCAGGAATACTACAAGCAGAAGCTAATGGAGAAGAAGATGAAAGGCAGCTCCGAGGACATCTGGGATAAGAGAAAGACCCTCTTGAAGAACCCGTTCAAGGAGTAAAGTACATAGTTGTGATGCCACAAACCAGGGGAAAACGGCGATGAAATGAACGTATCTGTGCATTTGATAGTGATGAGCGTGGTGCAACACCAGACGAACTGAACGATTCTACGTAGGCACGAGCCCAGCGGCAAGACGCGCTTGGCACGGCCACCAGGAGGCGAGTGTGTGCCCCATTATCTTTTCCTTTGATCCCAATTATAATTAACGCGCGGGCACGGGGATGCACTCACATGACCACACAGCTCTTTTTCTCGGGCTCGTTGTCGTTCAGGCCCTTTGGCTTTGCATTGAGCGCACACCGGGCAGCTTCCGAAAACGCCTCGTTGACCCCCCGGTTCTTTTTGGCCGAGCACTCTAGGTACCGCAAGGCTCCGACTTTCTTGGCCACGCTGAGCCCGTCCTCGTACGGCACCAATCTCCGGTGTGACCCGGGCATGCCCGAGGACTGGTTCGAGTACGGGTTGAACGACTCGTCTTCATGCACACTCAGCGGATCTTCCTCCTGATTGCGCAAGTCACATTTCAAGGCCACCAACACGAGCTTGACGCCCACACAGTGGTCTGCGATTTCCCCCACCCATTTCAGCTGCACGTTTTCCAACGAGTCCGGCGAGTCGATCGAAAAGCAGAGCATGATGCAGTGGGTGTCCGAGTACGAAAGCGCCCGCAAACGGTCGAATTCCTCCTGCCCCGCCGTGTCCCATAGAGATAACTGCACCGCCTGGCCATCTATGAATATGTCGTGCACGTAGTTCTCAAACACCGTGGGCTCGTACACCTGGGGAAAGTACCCACGCGTGAACACGTTGAGGAGCGAAGTTTTGCCACAGGCTCCGTCGCCTAGAATGACGATTTTTCGCTGGACTGGCTTATTAGTATCAGTGGGTGCACGGCATGCGGGGAGAAGCGGTGCCGGAGGTGGGGTTGTCCCGAAGGCATTAAGTGTACATACTCGTTTTGTTTCCGCCGGCGCAAAGAGGCATTTTCGGTGGTGGGTTACGGGGATGGGCCGAGGAAGCGTTCTCTCCGTAGAAACACGAGTTTACTGTTCTGCACAAGTCGTGCCGCGCCCAGTGTTGACGCGACTGGGCTATACGTGGGTTCTTAGAGGAGTGGCCCGCCGCACACGAGGAGCGGGCTGGAATTGAAGGGAGGGCTCATTTTGGTGTTTTCCATTATCGTTCAATACTGCTGTTATGTGCTGGCATTGGCCGGATCGGAAAGCAGGCTCCCGACCTTGGTGGCACTTATCGGTGGGCCTGCGTGAGGCGCGCCTGCGGCAAGGCGCGATAAGCTGGAGCCTCGTATAGATGTTGGCAATGGAAGTGCTAGCACTGGTGGGGAGAGAACACAGATGTAAGAATCATATGAGCAGAAATGTGTGTATATTTATATACTATGTTTGAAGTGAGCAAAGGCGGCTAGGAAGGAGGCGGGTTCTGGTGGGGGCTGCCTGTTTGCACGTCGCTTGCCGCAGTATGTCCAGGAATGGGACTGGCGCTTTTGGGGCCACTATCCAGAATGCAGCAAGCCGCTTGACTTTTCTTTTTCTGCCACGATCACGTAGCAGTTCATGGAACTGGGAATGCATATTGGCCAAGTAAAGGAAATAGATTTCTCGATGGTATAACTCAATGTTGTGGTACTGGTGATTGTTGTAATTCGCATCAAGTGGGCCCAAATTGGACTCACCGAGATAGGTCGCGCATGCTGTTACATTAGCGGAGAAAAATCAAACAAGAGACCATGAAAGGTTTTGAAAGTCTGTTGTTGATGTTGAGATCCAAACGTCTACGGATCAACTGAATTGAGGGCCATGATGGTAAGGACTCCTGAAATCGATATCTGATATGTTAGGTACGGACGCTGGTGAGTTGATTCCAACGAACTCGGTAAAGTATATTGTGGGTCGCACGACCGAGAAATGCTTCGCCCTGGATAAGTATCAACGTTCGTAGTGAGGCTGAAATTGAAGAGTCCCCAATCCCTTCCTAATTCCATAAGGAATTTCATGGATGGTGTTGCTGAGTGTGCAGACAAACAGGCCGCGGACCTCGATTGATTGGTCTGGATCATCTACGCAATGCGTGATGTCTGTTCTGAGGCTCCCTCTCTGACCTACAAGCTCGTCAAAGTTGTGGATTTATATACAACCGTTTGAGTATAAGTTAAAAGAAGTCATGTATTGCAAAGGGAAGATATTTGGATTTCGTTATCTTTGTTAAGCCCATCCATAAAATTAACACGGAATATTTATAAATACGAAATTAAAAAAAGCATTTCACTCATTCAGGTCGCGATTTATCTGAATTCATTAATTGATTTGGTTGTATAGCTGTGCGGGCCTCCTTTTGATAATGTCGAGGCTGAATCTAAATTGGTCTTGGGTCATATGACTGAAAATTCATCATGTAGATTTGTTTCATTTTCGACAAAGACAAAACTCGAAGCACGATAAACGCCCCCACACGAGCATAGCGTGGAAAGCCATTGGGAGGAGGACCGCAGCCGAAGTGATCCATGACGCTCGATAGCTACACCCTTTTGGGGTTAATCTTTTAATGGTGAATGACCGGGCATTGCATTGCCCGGTTATACCGACCCCCCTCTAAGGGGGTCGGCATTATATATAATAACATTATAATAAATATTTTTAATGTTATGATATCTCAC